TTACAGTAAAGCTAGTGTAGTTCCTTTCAATAAGAACCAATTATTGTAAGGATATCAATAAAGTTGGTTCAATTAAATAGTTTTTTGAATGTATTTGGTTAATACTATCAAACTATTTTGTTCGCATTTTTAGATAGTAATAAGAAATAAATCCTTACAAAAGTTTAAATTTACATAGATTATTATTAAAAATTTCAAAATGTTATAGTAAATTTGTTTATTATTTACCAACACATTTTATTTGTTTTCTGTTAAAAGCTATAAATTAGCGTAAACTAAGAATGTGTTATTTTTAATTATCTACTGTTACAAAATAAATTCATTTGGTAATTTCAAATGCATAATTCCAGGAATCAAATCTGAATTTAATAATAACATAACATATTTTTAAAACAAAGATATTGCATTCCGGCTTTCGGCTACTCCAACGCCATTTGTTTGATCTTCAGTCGATGATCCATGCAGTGTGTTTCCTACATCTAAAATTAAGTGTGGGCTGTAGTTACTGTGCCATAGATATAGATTTATATCATGGATATATCCATAGAAAATGAATATATCTCTGTTACTGTGCACTGCGAATTGACCAATATTATAATTTAATGATTGTTTAATGAAATTCATTTTGGAGGATGTGGATCTCAGTTCGTTGCCTGTATGAGTTTTTTTTATTAATTTCGAAAAAACATTGACAAATTTAGGTGATTTTTTTATTATAAATATTTAATAAATATGTCAATATAGCATTATTATTGCTTCCCTGTTTCATTTGTTTCAGCTTAGCTAACGTATCCAGTGTAGGTAGTTGAGCTAAACATTTATTTTTATTATTTTGTTTCACAACCTATATTTTTCTTAAAAAATAATGAAGTATACCTAAAAAACAAAATCCATGTAGTAGCTCCTAGAATGTTTTGCTGTACGAGTGGATTTGAAGCCGGTCAAATTCCCATTTTTGAATAAATTTTACTGATGACAAGTATTTTTAACTCACACATAATTTTTCCTAGACACCTATTTTTTTGACACCTTGAAAATGCTTAAAAATATGTTTACCGTTTGTTTATTGTAATGTGGATCTTGATACTTAGAAATCTTATTAGGTAGAGGAAAAATATAAAGTTTGTATATATTTTTTTATTTGATAAAAACTATGTAAAACTCAAAATCATTTTTTTTGGCCCTAAGCCCCTTATTTACATCAAGTCTTTAATTGTGCATGCAACCGTCTGATATTAGCTTTATTTTTAGGAATAAATAATTTTTTCTACTCCCACCTTTAAAACGCCCTTTATCGTACATGTTTTCATGACACTAAGTGACCTTTTAAATACACATTGACAAGTTGTGGCTCTACGGCGCTTTAGTCACGGGCTGAAGTTAGTTTTAAGTTAGTTGACAGTTGTCAAATGTCATACAATCGTTAAAATAAAGTGCCTTTCTTGTAAAATAATACTAAATGTGAAAATTATTTTATTATCTCAATACAAAAATTTTAAATAGTTTCTCAACGCCAATAATTGAAACGTTTATATGAACATTGTACTGACCTTTTAATTTCGCCGGCAGTAAACTATAACTTAAATTCGGGAACGGACTCTACTGTAAAGTCCTCATAAAACATTTCACTGTGAAAAACTGTCAATTTTCAAGATACGTTTCGATTTATAACCTTTATAATTGTGTTTATAAAATGTAAAAATGTGACATTTGACAGTTTCCCCTGTTGTTTCATAGATGGCGCTCTATACAAATTTTTTATTTAAATCATTTTAAGATAATAGTATTTGTCGTAGAAAAAGTATAGTATGCACCTCGTTTATAAACTTTTCTATACACTCATTAACTTAAGCACTCGCTCGCAAGCTCGCTCGTGCCTAAATGAAATTCGTGTATAAAATGGCGTTTATCAAACTTGATACATAATATACTATTATTGTGAATTATAATATTAATTTATATTAAAATAACAAATTGGTACTGTTGCCATAGAAAAGGAGCATGTTATTATAGTCCACAGTAATCAAACTGTGAATAAAATAAATGGTTATTTTTAAGTTGGGTTACTAATAGTAAATAAATAGATACTTATTGTAACACAATATATTATTATAGTTAAATATAAGTTTTATTAATAAAATAAAATACTAACATTAAATAAATAATTTAATATAGCAAACATAATACATATTTAACAATAACCATTTTTGTATTACGAAACTATACGGGTGTAATGAGATGATATTTAAACAAATTATTTTACTTTAAAAAGCTAATTTGGTAATGGTTAGTTTATGTAAAATTATATTCAAAAACGTATATTTCCATTAATACTCTCAATCGATAATACTTATTTTACATAAAATAATATTTACATAATTAGATTTATAGTAACAATTCGTGCTTAATAAATCATTTTTTTCAGTGAAGAAGACATTTGGTTCCATGTATCCATAACAAGTATTTGGTTGTGTCAAACAAATTACCATTACTATAACCAAACTGTTTTCTCAGTGAAGGAAATAAATTTATGAAGTCGAAGTCGAAGTATTATACAGGGTGTTATGAAATACCACGATGCCCTCCCTTCCCCCTTGGGTTATTTTAACTTAAAATATTTTTCGACAAGTAGTTTTCGAGTTATCAAGCATTACAGTTTAAGATTCGGCAACGCTATGTATTTTCTGAGCCGATTTAAGAAACATCTAAAAACCGTTGATATGAAAAAAATATATACAACGTATCTACACTGCCCGTCAAAATTTGAGGGTTTATCGAAAAAATATTTTTAAACCCCTTTTTTTAATTTCCAGCAAAATAACCATTATTATTACCGACTTTGAAGCGCTGTATCTCCGTTATTGTTCGTTTGATTTGTACAAAATTCTCAGGGTATACTAACAAAAATACGGTCTTTAACAGCATATTTTTTATTTGCTTAAAAAAAATCCCTAAAAGTTAAAACGTTTTTTTATTATTAAATAAAAGAGCCTTAAAAATATTTTCTCAAAAAACTCAAACACGTAAACTAAGATATAAGTTGAAGTATTTTTACACAAATTTTCATAAAGATTGGCGTTTTACTTATTATGCGTTAATTTTGACTGGCAGTGTATAATGACTTAATGAAAATTTACTTAATCGTAATTGTGTAATTATTAGAATATTGTAACCTTTTATTTTTGAATAAATAAATAAAGTTGTATGGACTCGACTTTGGTATGTAATTAATATTTTGTATTATATGATTCATTAATGAATACAATTGTAACAGTAATAGTAGGTTGTAAATAATAAAGGCACTTCTTTGCTTGAATTTATTTTTATATTATTTTAAGTTCCTGACTATTTTAGTCTTTTTTCATCTTCAGGGGACTCTACAATTTAATATGAATATTATAGATAAGGGGAATATTTGTTTATACAATAATTATTATAAAACCTGCTACAAATAATTAAGGTTAATTTTCAGTATCAAGCTAATTTCGTCCTATTTTCTGAAAATAATGCAAAATATGTATATTTTTGTAAAAAGGTAATTTACAACACAAAAAATCGCACACGAATCAACGGCTGAAAATCACTAGAGAAGTCATACGTAACGTGTCGCTAAGAGAAATTTCTTATTGATTGGACGCTTATATAAGCTTCGAATAAGGAAAATTTTTCAAAGCACAACTATAGACACTAAACGTTGTCTCACTGATTTTAGAGTGGTTTTCTTCCCCTTTCAAATATTTCTTTGACACTGACAAAAAGCTAACCAGGAGGAGAATGATTATATTATAGCCAAGCATACAATTCACCGCCGCTGGCTTTTATAAACTATTTTTTAAGCAATATTTCTTTAAGATTCTGACACATCATTTTAAGTTGGGTTTAACTGACATGATTACATTTAATTTTAATAATATAAAAAATATTTTACACTTAAAAAAAGAATAATTTTTAAACCTGTATAGTTTAAAAACTACACGTCGAAACATTTTTTGTAAGTATTCTATACTTAAAATAATTAGGGTGAGGGGCCTCGTCTATTCAGTTGTATTTACGGCCCCCAAATGACTTAATCCGCCCCTGGACCAAAGCGTTACCTACATTTTATTAATATACGCTAAAGAAGTATCGGGTTTACGCAACGCGCGCGCCATCTGGTGGACGGCATTGCGTGAATTTAAGAATAAAATAAATAAATAATATATAAAATAAAATAGGAAGAATTATTTTCAACAATACATTTAAAGCACAGATTATATTATATTATACATCATTTTTAAATAAATAGGTAGTTTTTTCACAAAAGTGAGGAAGACAGAAGTCTTACTCGACAAATTTTGTTCAATTGCACAGCTAAATCGCGCAATTTATTTCTGTTTTACGTTGCAAGGAAAAAATTAGTACTTCAGTACTCGATTTCGATTGATTATTCCTTATATCATTGATTAAGAAACTCAACGCCTAAATTCTTATATAGTTACGTTAGTGTGTGTATTTTATCAAAGGGATCATGGTGAATTATTGTGTTTTTAATTGTAAATGAAACAAGGGCGTACCCAGCTCAAAAGGAAAGGGGGGGCAAACTCGACATCTTTCATAAGACGGGGACGAGGGTAAAATGACATATAAAAATAACAAATTAACAAAAAAAAACATCGTTTGCGTTTATTGGAAAAGCCTAATTTTTAAACAATAATTTGCGTGGATTGCTTGTAAATCTATTAACTACATCTTGCGCTAATCGCTCCTTGTTTGCGAAAACCCTCTGACGATGAATACTAAGCATAACTAACCCATTCAACCTATTTTCACCAATAGTGTTCCTTAGCCATGTTTTAATTCTACGAAGAGAGCTAAATGAACGCTCGATAGTACTAGTTGTATATGGCTGTAAAAGCAGTATCACAAGAGCCTTTCTAATTGCTGGAAAGAACATTTCGCTCTTTTTTAAAATCTCTGATGTCTGGTGTTTCCTGTACCTTATTCCACATTTTTAATGATAATTAACCTTCCCCATTGAAGCCTTCCAAATTGTAAAAACTTAAACAAGGTGAAGTTCTTTCTTTCCATTCTTCCAATAAAACATTTTTCATGTTATCCGGATGAAAATGGGTCAATGAAAATGCAGGCGATTTGTCTGCGGAAAATCGTACTTGCAGAGATACAATGATTGAATCTAAGTAAGGAATTATAAGAGATCTTTTCCAAAATTCACTTGCATTTTGGCTTATGTGCTTTTGTCGGCCAGCAATACGAGCGATGGTTATATCAACATTCAGGGACTTCGCTATGTCGCTTGCTTCTCTTAAAACTTCGGCTGTTACGTTCTTTGCTTTTTCCCGATGATCTTTTAACATTTGAAGAATAGTTTTAATGTGCTGGTTGGCTTTGACTATATCAAGTGTCTTCTTTTGAAGTATATTTAATGTTACAGGCGCAATAAACTGAGATCTGCATGCCACTGCGTGCATTTGGTATGCACTTTTTCTTGTGGCTGCATTTCCCTCCTCGGCTAATGTATCTAGTGCGTCAATTATTTCAACAAAGTGTTCCTTAAAAACAAGAACGCTTTTATACTTTTCTGACCATCTGGTTTCACACAATTTGGGAATGTTAGCAATAAGTTTCGTTGGTACTTTCATCGAAAAAAACGTAATCCAACAGAAAGCTGTTCCTTGCCACATATATCTGCGGTTTCGTCAGCCAGAATGCTATAAGCATAAGCTTCTTTAACAGTTGAGACTATTTTTTCCCTAATTGAAGCGCCACATAAATCAATTATTTCGTTTTGTATGATAGGTAATCGATAGGATGCGTTTATTGGTCCGTGCTCAAAATGGTTTCTCAATTGTAAATCACATGCTTCGATACGTAAATGACATAAGTCTATAAGCACGCCTTCGTTCAAATTTTTGCCCCTTAGAGGTAAGTCATGTGTTCCGCAAAAAATTATACAGGTTACAATTGAAGACAGAACTTTTCTGTTTTTCTCTATTAATTGTTGTGAAGACCGGTGTAGTTGGATGTCAACTGGAACGGCTTCCATTAACGATTTTGCTGATTCAATTGCAGCCTGGTGTTCTTGGGTGCATGTGCTTTGCAATAATCGTGCACGTCCTTGTATCTAGTGAAGGGTCTGATAATAAAAGAACCCCAACCACTATCTGAGGCTATCTGAGGGCGAAAACAGCACATAAAATTTACAAAAAGCACCTTTGAGTCGCCTTGAGTAAGCTAACCATGGCGAATATGTGTCCAACCAGTGATGATTAAATTTCCTCTTGAGGTGTTCAGTATCAGCCGCAAAATCAGTCTTTGGAAGGCATCCAGCAGTTTAACTGTAGAAGAAGGTCCGGCGCCCGCAGTCGCAATGTCAGTACCTGGAGTAGATTGTTGTTGAACTGGTAGCGTTGGCACTTTTCTTTCGTTTTAAATTTACTAGAAAAAAACAATCTTTACGTAATATAAAAACGTAAACGCGTTGAGAAAGTTATACATGAGTGTTCGTGTTCGGTATGTAATATACTCTTTCTAAGGGCAGGGCACTCCAGTCAGTGGCCACTGTTAAAGATTTTGTAAAAAAAATAAAAATGATTGTTTTTTTGAAAACAAGTGGAACTAGTATACGTCAGTGGCGGATTGTGGATTTTGGGTATACCGATATCTTAGTTAGTAAACATAGGAACCACACCAAACTTTTATGATTTTATAATGATATTAAATAGACAAGTTCTGCGCAAGCAGAATTCAAATTGAAGTTTGCGAAAATAGTTTTTTAGCGCACCTCACCAGCCCCCTGCTACCCCTAATTAAGAATATTCAAATTAAAGTGGTGCAATTCATAATTTACTATATTTTATCGGCAAGATTAAACATTTATTTGTAAATTCTAAGAATTACAGATTTTATACCATTTTAAATTTTTATTATTCTTTTAACTAAAATTAAAAAAAAAAATAAAAATGGTATAAAATCTGTCATGGATTTTTAAAATAAATTTTGAAATTTGTCGGGGAACTTTAGTGAATTATGAATTGCACAACTTTAATTTGAATAATCTTAATTAGGGGTGACAGGGTGCTGGTGAGGCGCGCTGAAAAAACAACTTTTTTCGCAAACTTCAATTTAAATTCTGCTTGCGCAGATCTTGTCTATTTAATGTCAATAACAACTCATATAAGTTTGGTGTGGATCCCATGTCTACTAACTGAGATATAGTTATTCCCAAAATCCACAATCCGCCACTGGTATACGTTATAATCACGTGCATAAGTATAATTCTAGTAATAAGTAAAGTAAAACATACACAGTTAAACACAAATAATAGACAACGCAAGGTTTAGACGTGACGGCAGTAAAATGATTGTTACGGATGAAAAGTACTTACCAAATAATTTTCTTATATCCATTAATTTTGTTGTAATAAGGTCAGGTGGATGCCACGAATCAGATAAACAAAAACGTTACTTTACAAATTGCGTTGCACCGAGTCACACTTGAAACTTTAGGTACGATATAAAGTTAAGTAACAACCATTTCTCTATGGTAACAACCATAGACAAAAGAAAAGAAAAAGACCATTAATTGAATAGGACCGCGCATGCATAACGTTCCCGTAGCGCATAGCGCATGGTACTAGTAGTTGCCAGATTGGGCTATTTATAGCCAATTGGGCTATCTCTACGTCTTCTTTGGCTCTCAAAAATTCCAGACGGCTACAGGCTACTACTTTGGGATACATTTTTAGCAAAGGGACTATAATTGGGCTACAATTGGTTAAAAAAATATAAATAGACCTTTCCCAATTGATCATGCGCAAAGTTTTATAGAGATTTTGATATTAACTTTACGCAACGAAAGAAGAAGAATAAAGTTATTTAGTATTATTTTTATTTATTTTACAACTGTTCGCAATTTGTTTTTGTTTTCGAACGTTATTAAAGTTAGGGGGAATTGACAGAACCTGCCTACTAGATCGCACCAATTATGTGTTATTTTTTCACCACTAGCGGCGCTAATTTCCATTTTTTACTGAGGTATGTTTTACCCTTACAATGTTTCAATACCAACCAAACAACAAACAAAACACCAGCGCCCTCCTATTTTGGGAAATCATTTAAGATATACAGGAAGTTCAGACTCCTTGTGTAGGCTCCATGATCTAGGATGCAAATCAAGGTGCCAATTAAGGTCCGACCGAGATCTCGATCTTGGTCATTCTCAGCCATAAATCTGTTTGAGATCTATTTCTCGATCTCTGCGAAAAAGGCCGAAATTATGGGCCATGGCCGAAACTTCGTAGAACTCGGACATTCAAAGCGCTAAGCATGCACGACCAAAACCATTACCTTTTTGCTAAGAATGTATTTAAATAGTTAAGTCATTTTAAATGTTAATCTCATCTATCGAGCAGAGCAATATTTGTTATGTTATTTCAATTAGACAAAATAATTGTCATTGACATCTGTCTCGGTCTCGCCCGAGACCCTAGAGAGCATTAACAATTGTTTCTCTATGGCCGAGACTACAAAATCAGGTTCAATCGGACCTTATTGCCAACCCAAGTAACATTTTTAGTTTTATTATGGTCTTCAAAGTTTTATTATGGTCTTCAAGAACGCTTTAAAACAAAATTTTGTTTTAAAGCGTTCTTGAAGACCATAATAAAACCAAAAATGTTACTTGGGAATGCGGCTACTTTTGGGCTATTTTTATTTATAAGGTTGGTTCTTACTGTCAAAAATATCTGGCAACCCATGATGGTGGTGAGCGGCTGAACTATATAAACTTTTAATAATGGACATACTGCTCTACAGCCGTCTTTGTTTTTATATGTATTCAACAAAGACTCATGCTACCGGGTGTGTTTGAGTAATTTTTGTATTATTAAACTACGTTTTGTGAGCAGGGGCGTGCTGGGCCGCCGGGACACCGGGCGAATGCCCGGTGGCCTGCGCTACCATGGTGGTCTGCTGGACTTGTTATGGTATGCAAATAGAACAAAGATTTTTATACCAAACAAAAAGTTTTTTCAAGTTATATCACTAAACACTAAAATAAATAAAATAAAAAGAAAGTTTTAATTGACTTCCGTAAAAAAATCTAAAACACGTATTTTTTACGCTAACCCTTAACCAAGAAGTCGCAGGTGGAAACCCTAAACCGTGGGGATATTTTGGATGCTTTCGTAATAATTTTTCCGTTTCTTTGAAAATCCAAACTGATCCGGGGCCACTTCGATAAAATGCAATTTTAGTAAATTTATAAAATTTTCGGAAGGGGGGATCAGCTCGAATTTATAGAGAAATTAATTAATGATTTAATCCTTTAATATTAGAGTGAAGTGACGTAAATTTGGAAGCTTTTATGATGATTGCTGTGAACAGAAAGGTGCAAAATGGTTTAGATTGTGACTTAATACGGGAGGTTTTATCAGTAGAGGTATTTAATTGTGATGTATTTTTACAATTTATATGAAATTGGCTTGGGCCTGGACTGCTCTACCATCTAGTCCAGGCCTGCATTGATTCAGCCAGCACGCCCCTGTTTGTGAGGTTAGATTGTTTGGGTTTACATGCATGGTTTATTTGTTTATTTTTTTGTTTATGCTTTGTCCAGAGCAACATTAAAGGTAATAATTGTATTAACACTCTGCACCTCCTTAATACTTTGTTTTTTAGGATCTAATTGTTCTGATATATATATATCCTACTATAGTAGGAGATTCTCAATGTCCCTAAAGATAATAATGGGCAGTTTGTTACATATTTTTATAAAAATATAAACCATATATGGTGTACAGTTTCGAGAGTATTTTTTCATGTCGAGAGCCACATTCGAGGTAAAAATATTAAATTTATATGCTAAATATTTAATATATAATACGTTTGTATGCAAAAATATTCCTTTATATGTTTGGATTACAGTTTATTAATTTTTTCACCATATTATATCTGCTAAAAATGTTTTTATTTGTTAGGTACCTACCTATTTGTTATTTTTTTTTATTTTTGTTTTGTTTAATATTACAGTATAATACAGTTACTGTAACACGTGTTATATATATATATATATATATATATATATATATATATATATATACAGTGTTTTCCCAGAGGGATTTGCGAACCTTTTTATTATGCGTTTTACGAAAAAACATTCTTCATAATATATCCTGATTATTTAAAAATTAGATTCCCATTAAAAAATTAATCAAATATACAGGTTGTTTAAAAAAAACAAATCTTAAAAAGTATCATTATTTATAATATTTTATAATAGAAAGTATTTATATATTTATAGTTGACAATTTAAAGTACAAATTTAAAAAAATTAACATCTTTAAATAGACCTACCTGTATTAAATATTTTATTATTTCGTATTAAATATTTTATTATTTCGTATTATAATTTCCATCGACTTTCTCTTTAAAAAAAATTCTATAAATGAATTAATCCGTGATTTCGAAGCACCTATATTTGATTTAAATTTTTTTATGGATATACCATTTTTTAAACAAGCACGAGTTTTTATGAAGAATTCATTTTTTTCTTAAAACGTAACAATTTTTGTCTTAAAAAAGATTTTCAAATTGGCAAACCAATACAGGCACACACTGTCTATTATTTATATACATTTGTTTCTTGAATAAAAACCATTTATCTTAATATAGATTTTTATTATTCCTATCATAAATAGATCTATTTTACTTTAGTTTTAAATCTACCTCCAAACACCTAGTTCATTCCCGTAGCCACCGAGGGCGCTCGAAACTATGTGCCTTAATCGTAACACGTAAAGTGTTCCTCTCCTTTTTTTCTTTCTCTATGGTAACATTGTTACCGTAACAACTGCTGCAGTGAACTGCAGTTGAACTGCACAGAATCACAGATTGATTAATAAGCATGGAACAAAACCAAAACATAAGACAATGCAGTCAATTCACCGGGCGCATGCCCCACCCGCATTCCGGTATTGGTAACTTGGGGCAGCGGCGGGCCAAGAAAGTGAACGCCACAGTAGCGGCCCAAAATAAAATCTTACAATGGGCGACGCTTTTTAATTTTTAAGATTTTTATGAATTTGTGAAAGCTCTACAAAGGTCTCTAGTATGCACAATGCCTAGTGTCTTTCAGTCTATTTGTATTTCATCGTCTTGTACGTTAAAAAAACCTAATTTAATTTTTTGAAAGAAAAGGTTGGACCTAAAAGGGGGGCAGCTGGCCCCCCTGGATACGCCCTTGAAATGAAATTCAAGAATTAAATCGTTGCATTTTCATGTTTTGCCAAAGGATTCAATTCGGCAAGTACATTTGTTGAAGAATTAACTAATGATATTTAAGTTTGGACATTTTTAAGAAATTAGTAAAAAATAATTTT